AAGCGTTGTATATTAAAAAGTTTTTTTTTATATTATTTATTTTAAATAAAGAAGTCTTCAACCATTTACAGTCATTTATTACTTATGTCACTAGTACTTCTCAATTCTGTACAATCCTATACTATCCTACTTAGTTCCAAATACAATTGGATAAAACTAACTACTCAAATCTTGCTATTAACGAAATTCCAATTTTTCAAGGTTCCTACTATTGAATCCAGTGGCGTAGCCAGGATTTGGCTTTGGTGGTATGCAAAAAATTTCCATCGATAACTTAAATTTGTGACACACAATGGCTAGAGGCGTCGCCTGAGTGCATTCTTTCATATATTTATGTATGTGCCAGTTTTACTGTTATATATTTTTGATCTATTCGTTTATTCAATGGGGTATTTATGCTTTATCTAAATTTAAAAAATTAAATTACTATACCGTTTTAAAAATCTGAAAATTCACAGCCGGAAATTTTTTATTCTCTTTTTGTCTTCGCCTTCTCGTTTTTGCCTTTATAAGTTTTGAAAAAAGGTTTTGAACGAACCATTATATCACATTCCTAGGCAAGTTTTGAAATAATATTTTCGATACTAAATTTTATTAAAACAAAATGTTGAAATCAGCTTCATATAGAAACAGTGTCATCGTTAATTAAGAAAGAGATGTTCTTAAATATCATAACTTTACGACACTCACATATTGACTAGTGTTAGCGCGCAATAAGTGTAAGTATTCATATTGAAATGTATTAAAAAATGGATTCCTAACGTGCAAAACCTTAGATTTTAGCACAAACGTATCAAAGCATTAAAATCGCCGAATATAAAGCATTTGTACGTGCTACCGCTCAAAATACGTGTTTTATTTGCTCACTCGTCAACCATCTAAAATACTTTGCCGACATTTATACGCGACGGCCATTTGCTAACACGATATGCCCGACTTGCAGAATCTCGATGGTACCGTTATAGAGGAAAGTGTACTCCCCCCTGCTGGCGCACATGCTAGCAATGTGCAAACGTTTTTTACAGCAGGGAGTGCACTACCCGTCGAGCAAATCTCAAATTTCAATATGCAAAATTTAGCCGCGACGCAGGGTGAGCTCTCGCCCTTGTTTTTATCGACTGCTACCGCCGCGACCATGTCGAACGCCCCCATACAATGTTCCGCGAACGGTTTGTGTCAAATGCCATACAAGCCGGTGCCTACTATACCCGGGAGCCTGGGCATTAACATGAACCCACGGCCAAGCTATGCTTGTATGGCTATGCCGCAAAACCACGTGGCCTACGACATGGCCCCGCCGTTATCGGCGGTCCTCAATTGATTTCAACGTTTGCTCATTCATCTGCCTGCGTGTTCGGTCAGAGCCGTCATGCACCGATGAGTGCCGTCTACACGCCTACCTATGGAGGCAACGTGTTACAAGCTTCGCAACCTACACACATTCCGTCGCTGGCCTACACAGGGGCTGCTTATACGAGAGCGTACAGTGCTGCCGCACCATACCAACCGTTCTCTCCCTGCGCCCGTTACCGACAGCACATGGAGAGGGCTATATACGCAGTCTCAGCGTAGTTTGGACGTAGGTCTATCCCAAACACACGTGGCGGCAAGACAGGTAATAAGTAAAGACTTGCCACTCTTCTCCGGGAAGCCAGAAGAGTGGCCGCTGTTCATAACGAATTATGAGCAATCGACTGAACGTTGTGGATTCTCTGAACAAGATAATCTGATTAGGCTTCAAAAATCACTACGAGGTGCGGCCCTTGAAGCCGTGAGAGGAAAGCTAATGATGCTTTCTACTGTTCACTTAGCTATCGAGACACTGCGCATGCTTTTCGGACGACCAGACGTGATCCACGACACACTACAGCGTAAACTAAGGCAGATGCCAGCAGTGAGGACCGATCGGCTAGATACGCTAATTGCGCTCGCGTTGGCAGTTTAGAACTATAGAGCAACGATGCAAGCAATGGGTCTTAGCGACTACCTGAACGACCCTATGCTTATCAATGAGCTGCTGAACAAACTGCCAGGAGATATGAAGCTCAATTGCGGTCGTCATCGAATGGCTACGGTTCGTGTCGATATAGTGACCTTCGACGACTGGTTATTTGGTTTAGCATCGTGTGCTAGTCAAGTAACACCACTTAACCCTACAGCCAGTACTACTGGAGAAGAAAAGGCGGGACAAAAGAGCACTAAGGAAAGGGTTTTTGTGCACGACGAGATTTCTAAGGAGCGCGCCTCAACTAAATCGCCTAAGGGGAAAACGCAGACACCCCCTGCTTGTCACCAGTGCGAAAAGGGCCACAACCTCTCTGACTGCCCGGACTTCAAAGCAAAGAGCCGAAACGAACGCTGGCAGCTAATCTAGGAAAAAAAGCTGTGCATTCGCTGCTTCAGAACTCACATGGTTCGACGCTGCGCCTCCAAGCAAGCATGCGGTGTTGACGGTTGTCGAATGGCGCACAACGCACTACTACATGGCAACACTGCTGCAACCAATCACTATGGTAAAGTGACCAAAGCCGATATTAAAGGTCAGGACGGTTCTACAGTCCTATTCCACCAACGCAAGTTTAAGAGGGCAGTTTTTCGCTACATTCCGGTAATCCTATATGGCCCCAAGACGACTATCAGTACATTTGCGCTGATTGACGAAGGGGCATCGTGCACACTGATGGACAGTGGCCTAGCTGAGGAGTTGGGACTTGACGGGCCCAGCGAAGAGCTATGTCTGAGATGGACCAGCGACATCACACAGCACGAGGCGAGCTCAAAATTCGTAGGTCTCGAAATATCTGCCAAAGGGGAAAATGTTCCGCGTTATCGTTTGCATAACGTGCGTACCATCACTGACCACGAATTACCGCAGCAATCACTAAAAGTCGATACGTTGAGCGAACGCGATCATCTGAAATCTCTGCCTATTCTACCGTATTCTGAGTGCAGAGCGCGTTTATTGATAGGCTTAGACAACACTAAGCTTTGTGTTCCACTGGAGGTACATCAGGTTGAGGGCGATGAGCTTATAGCTGCGCGTTGTAAAATAGGTTGGTCAGTTTACGGTCACGACAAGTCGAACCAGCCATTGGGGGAAAGTTTACTGCACGTCTGTAACTGCAACAAAGGCAGTCAACTAGATAGCTTGATGAGGGTGTATTTTTCTGTCGAGGCAGTGGGCATCAGCTCTACCGTCCAACCCCTTAGGTCGAGGGAAGATGAGCGCGCACGCATTCTAATGGAGAAAACAATTAAATATGTCGCCAGCGATAAGAAATGGGAAACCGGGCTGCTATGTAAGTACGACCAAGTTGATCTGCCCGATTCATACCCAATGACATGCAAGCGCCTCCAATGTCTAGAGAGGAAGATGGAAAAGACCACCGAGCTGAAGGAATTCCTTATCGAAAAAATTAAGGACTACATCGAAAAAGGAGATTAGCTGACGACGAGATATCTACGGGGGGCAAGTCCTGGTTCATTCCTGTTTTCGCAGTCATGAACATCAACAAAAACAAAAAAAGGCTTGTATGGGATGCAGCGGCCAAGGCGCATGATACCAGCTTAAACGATGTACTGCTCAAATGCCCTGACCTCTTACAACCGCTGGTAGGTATTCTAATGCGTTTTCGCGAACGACCAGTGGCTATATGCGGGGACATCCGCGAAATGTTCCACCAGATTCGAGTAGTTAAAGAGGACCAGGTGGGGCAACAGTTCCTTTGGCGAGACGGCGACAACAACCGACGACCTGATGTGTTCGCCATGACCGTGATGACGTTTGGCGCATCATGTTCTCCGTCTTTGGCAAACTACATAAAAGACAAGAACGCCCTACGTTTTGAGAAGGAGAGGCCCCGCACGGTGGCAGCAATCGTCCAAAACACATTTGTGGATGACTGGCTGCATAGCATGGACGATGAAGACGAAATGATTAACCTCGTTACCGATGTCCGCTATATTCATGGAGAAGGCGGGTTTGAGATGCGGCACTGGATGTCGAACTCCAAGCGAGTGGTACAAGCGCTCACAAGTGAGTCCGAGCCCATAGACAAGTGCATTCCAGAACCAGAGGAGGAGTTCCAAAAGGTTCTCGGTATGTGGTGGCTGTCGAGCAGCGAGGAGATCACATTCATCCACAAATTCAA